CGATCTCAATTCCTCAAAAATCGAAACAAACTGTGTTTTTTCAATAATAATTGTTTTTTCAATAATGATTTAATAATTCAATAAAAGTTTGAATTAGGTACCATTTTTTGTCTTTGTGCTATAATTTTAATTCCACACACAACATTCAATCAACCCTTCATCTGTGTTGTTTACACATGAAACTATTTTTGTTAAATACATGAACAATGCACATGCTATAAAAAAAATTATAAACAAACAAAAAAAAACATCAAAATGAAAAAATAATACTTGTATAAATTGAACTCTCAAAAGTTAAATAAAAATTATTCAACTGACCTGTGAATGCTCCTTTTGACATACAAACTAATCACAAATTGGATTGAACAATCAGTTTAATGCAAAATAAAAATAAAAATTGAATAATGAACAATGGCGGACAAGACAAGCTTGTTCCCTTTTGTTTCTCATTTTCTGTCTTTCTACCCTTTCGGTACCTACGCCTTTTCGTGGCGGCGCGGCGTCCTCGTTCTCCCCTAAACCTAAACTTTATGGCGCATTACATGGTTGCAATATTTACTTTTATTCAGTAAACGTTTTTTAAAAAGTTAAGATTTGAAGAAATAATATTTTAAATAGGTGGTTTTCCTCAGTATTCTAAGCAAATGATAAGGTCACCATAAGGTCGATAGACAGAACTTAGGCACAAAGACTTACCTCGCACCTTCAAGGAAATCCAGATCTTCGAGAGTATGAATAATTTTAAAAGAATAGCAGTTCTACCCTACCCCACCATCTCGCCCATTTCTGTCAACCCTAGATAACTTATATCCGAGTATCAAAACTGCAGCATCTGTAAGCTCTTCCTTTAGCCATATCTCTGAAAGTCTTACTATGTAATACTGCTCTGCGATCACGTTGGCTTGACAAAAATTAATAAATTTCTTATTTAGGTCCATAGCATTCATCAATTAAAACGAGGGCTTTGCTCTATTGTAGTAATATTATTAAGAAAAGCAGATGCAATAAATCACATAAAAATAATTAAGAGCATGACGTGTGGTCACTTGCTCCTTAAATAATTTTACAGTTCAATAAAAAAACCTGGCAAAAAAAGAATCAAAAAGCCTAATTATTCTAAAAACACATATCGCACAAAGCCGAGCATTCCTTATCTCTCCCAAACCGAATAAAAGTTTGAAGTGGCTGTTCCGTGTAGATTCAGTCGTCACCGTCGTCGTCATGTCCTTGAAGATCGACCTCTGAAGTGATCAGCATTTTCTTTTTCTGTTCCTCATCCCATGCGTATACCTTTCCAGAAATGAAAAATGCTTAATTATTTCCCAAATTTTGCTTTAGCCTTTGAACCTCGGGGCAGTCAATTCTTCATAAATAGTAAAGCTAGTACCTTTGAAAAACTTCCTAGTCTGCAGGACTCGATTTCTCATGAAAATGCAATTAAAATTAATTAGTACCTATCTGGGAATTTTTCCAATTTGACCAATTCAAAACGTATTTTCTATAAAAATTCTGTCACACGTAATATGTATTTAACTTTTTCTGAATGATCAAAAGAACAATAAATAGTAAGCAAATTGGTATTATCACTATTGTCTAACCCGCCTTCTACCTATGCGATTTAGCCTGTAACCCCTTTTGGTAATGAATTAACAAGAGCCCTATAATATGCTCAGTTTGCTCAGCAAATAATTATTAGGGGTGGGTTGATAGTTTAATAAGTACAGAATGGCAAGGGCGCCACTGAATTTAAAAAAAAAAATTATAATAAAATATAAAATTGCTTAAAATATGGAAGGGTGAAAATTCAGAAACACACCTAGAAAATAATTAGCAAACGGTAATTGGTGATTCTGAAAAGGAAATAAATAAGGCACACAACTCAAATCTTGACATATAGGTAAACCAATAAAACAATTAAGTAAATTTCAATTTAAAATAGTCTATATTTTCACAGTCAGTCAAAAATTCAGCATTGAATTATTTTAAAATATAAAATCAATTATTGTTGGCAAAACACATTAAACCAAATCAAATAAAAGAGATTAACTTTTAATCAGATTCGTCAAGTTAAAAAAAAATGAAATAATAGTATAATAACAATGCACTTCTATATACTTGCCATATAAATTCATTAACAGTCGCTGGCCATATCATTATCAGGAAATGCAAATATAAAAGATTTAGGTTTCCAGAAAACTAATTTAAAAAAAAAAATGAATGATTGAAAAATTGTATTGATTAACATGGTAAGCTTCTGCAAAAAAAAATAAATACGAAAAAATCAATTTGTACCTGTAAAAAATCGAAAGTTGGGTTATATAACAGTTAAATGGTCTGGAGACATAGGGGAAATTCTCCAATATATAAGTTATAGGACCTCGGGTTTAAAATTGATCAATTTTCGACGGTAGGCTCTTACTCGACAATTTCAAATTTAGAACATGTTGTCCAACCTTGACTTTTGTTCAGATTACTTATCGATTATTATTGATAAAAAAATTATAAAATATAAGGCAATATTAAAAGTTATGCAAAGACAAATCCATAATAAATTCGATAAATCGAAAGCCAATTTTCCACCTTCGCCTCGGTGTCAAGAATAAGAGATTTCAAATGTGTATGAAAATCATATAAAAAATATATATACAGTGTGATTTTTTAAGTGTGCAACATATGGGGATTTTTTTTAGTAATAGCACAACGCAAATACAAACAAGGCCAAAAGTTGGTGCATGTCTGATAATCATATTAGGTGCACTTAGAATGGTTGCAAGTCCAACAGCATACAGGGTAGCTCAAACAATATCAAAGCTGGTACTGTAAAGTACCCTTATTTTAGAAAATTCAGCAAAATGTTATAAAGAAAAGTTGTTTGGAATTAAAAGTTATCCCCAAATACCAAATCATGGCCTCCTAAGATTTTTTTTATTTTCTTTCGAAAAAAATCTATAATTTCTATATTTTTTTTATTTTTTATTTCCGCCCTTAAGATTTTCAAAAATTAATTAAAATCAAATCAATTTTACATAACTTTGTTCAAATTCAAGCATAATTGTAAAATTAACTTGGATTTTTAATTTTTTATGGAATCACAAAATTCATGTTTGTTGCAATAATATTCAACACAACTTTAAAATGTCGCAATTTTTTTTTTTAAGAAGTTGAAACATTACTAATGATAATAGCCATATTAAAAAAACTCTCCTTTAAGTGCAAAAGTTTTATTTTATCAAAGTAAATATTAGTAGAATTTTGATATTTTTTGAGCCACCCTGTATGCTGTTTGACTTGCAACCATTCTAGGTGCACCTAATATGATTATCAGACATGCACCAACTTTTGGCCTTGTTTGTATTTTGATTGTGCTATTACTAAAAAAAAATCCCATATGTTGCACACTTAAGTAATGACACTGTACATACATACATATATCTTAATTTTGATAATTGACAATAAAATTGATTTTATAAAAGAAAATGTATTAAAAGTTACTAGTGAAACTTTATACAAGCCTCCATTTCAACATCAGGCAGAGCAGGGTAGACATCCATCCTCGGTCATTTGACGAAGAAAACTGCACATGGAACTTGCAGATTGTAGCCTAGAATCCAGGTAGATAAGGGACTAGTATTGTCGTTAAATGTGGGGCACACTTATCGACTCGTGAGGGTCTTGATTCTTGTAGGAATTCCTTCAAAAGCTCTATGCCACACTCCATGGAAATTGTGTTCTTATTGAAAATGTGGCCTTTTAGGAATGGATTTGCTGAGAGAAACGGCTCTTCGAAAGACCCTAAGTAATAAGGCATTCCTTGAAAAGCTATTACCTAAAAAAAAAACTTTGGAATTCAAACTTAAATAAAATGGTAATCACAAGACTTTTGATTCAGATTTTTTTTGCAATCAACGGATTATTGCCTTACGCAACTTTATTTCGTTAAGATAAGATAAAGCCTGAAGGCCGATAAGGTACTTTATTGTTCCACGGCACGGTTGTCTCGAGAAGATGGCGATTTTCAGCCGATCGACTTGGCAGCTCGACGACACAATTCAAAAATGCGAATTACGATGGCAAGCAGGGCGCTCACATGACGTGTTCATTTTAAAAGTACGCGAGCGCGAACTTTTGGCTAAGCCTTGATGCTCGTCGAAAACTAAATAATAGTCGCAGTAAAAGCCAATTATTTGTGCATTTCGTTTGAGCGTCTCTACAAGTATAGATAAGTATGAACTTGGCAAGTGTACGAATAATCGTGATCCCTTTGACTCGGGACATTTTTACCGACAAGCAATGGAAAACCCACGAGTGACAAATAATTGTACAAGTAACCCACTCACACGACATGGCAAGTATACGCAAGTAACGATTATTCGTCAAGTACACGAGTCGTTTGAGCCCGGCTTTAGACAGTTCCTTTAAGATTTTTGCTCAAGATTATCGGGTTTGTTTTGTATTTTAGTAATAGCCTCTGTGGAATGATAATATTTCGGATAAACACATTTTTAAGGCTCATGGGGCAAAGCATTGGCTGAGTGGTGTTGTTAATTTGCCTGATTTTATTATCAGTTCGTTATGCATGCAGCAATACTACCTTTACATTTAAAATCAGTACTAAATAATAATAATACTTTTGTTTGCTTTGGTGATCCATTTTTCTCTAAATGATCTTCCTTTTTCTGATAACTTAAAACCACAACGTTGAAGATTTTTTCAAGCATAGATGGTAAACATATGTTCGGTAGAACATAATATGAATAACACTGAATAAACAATTTGAAAATAAACTAAATTTATTCTCTCCGTATAAGCAGGATATGCCTAATAAGGAACTGAATCTCATGTTAGTGCTCGGAGATATATGAATTATAAATTTCCTAGAGCTCACCAGGCTTTCTTGTTAAAAATGCTGATGAGAAACATAAATTGCAACATAAAAATATTTCCTCATATGCTAAATCAGCCTACAAAATCGATGGTACAAAACTAATTTTTTGTTTCAGATAAACAATAATTGGATTATGGGGCCAAAACTGTGTGACCTGTGGACTTCTATTGATGTCCTGTGCTGTACTGCATCAATTTTACATTTGGTCGCGATAGCACTTGACAGGTAAATTAAATTTCACGTATGGCTTATATTAGGGTGCTATTTGTGATAAAATAGGTCTAGAAGTTGGTAGGTAGAAAGTAGGTCTTACGGCCCAAAAAAAACTAAAAATGCGATTTTCTTGGTTTTATCTTGGGAGTAACTTGCGAAAAATTTTGTCATTTTTATATTCACACTACGATATTAGCTAGAAAAGCTTTAGAAAAAAGTTATTCCTTATAAAAGTTTCTGAAATGTGTACCTATAGATCATAATGCGGGTATTTCCTTTGGACGCTCTTCGAAGAACATAAGATACATAAGCACTGTGCCAACATTTTTTTTTTAATGATGAAGGAGGAAATAATCGAAAACACCGGTAAAGCCTAAAGTACAAGCAAACACTCACAAGGAAAATATGTTAACGTTGAACCAAGATAATGTTTATTGTTTAGGTACCTACCTACCTACCTTAATATAGAAAGCCGTTATTCTCAAAGAGTGGAATTTGTGTTGTGCGTTTGATGTTGAATTTCGATTTATCTCCGATATTAAGAGCCGCGGGACTGTGAACGTATTGATTCATCTGAATTTTTGCCGAAAAATATAAACTGATAAATTTGAAACCGAGCTATAGAAAAAAATGTAGGCATTTACTTGTGTTCTCCCAACGACGTTTTCTTTGCCTGCAGGTGCACCTGAGCTGTCTCCCAATTCTTCGACGAACGCCAATCACATAAAATAGGTTTAAAATATCTTCTAAAACTTAGAGATTGATTTTCTAACGGATTTTGAATTGAATTTCAAAGGATGGTTTCTGAGGGTTCTGAAAACTCAACTGGAAAACATTTCGATTAGATAATCATTGTTGGCAGAATAGAATCTTAGCTATTGTAATGTTTGTTCATGTTCTTTTTCTTGTCTTGCTTTTTACATATCTACGTGTGTTGTCATATGTTTTATTGATGATAATGATTTTATTCCAGATACTGGGCTGTGACAAACGTGGATTACATCCACTCGAGAACTAGTAGCCGCATAGGAATAATGATATTAATGATATGGGTAATTGCACTGGTGGTATCCCTTGCCCCTCAGATACCGCAATTCAAAGATCCTGAATACTTGTTTAGGATAGAGGTTAAGAGACAGTGTCTAGTTAGTCAAGACGTTAAGTACCAAATATTTGCTACCAGTTCCACATTTTATGTTCCTCTGTTTGTGATATTTGTATTATATTGGAAGATCTTTCAGGCGGCGAGAAATAGGATAAGAAGAAGGAAAGATCTAAAACAAAGTTTTCACAAGGTGGAAAAGACTAACAACAATAGTAGGTAAGCTAGTATTATTAACCTAATTTCCAAGTATCATAAGTTTTTATTAGGTGGGAAGAAGAAAATAATCGGTTTTCATAATTTATTCTTAACCTTAACAAAACCAAAACTCAAATACTAGTTCTACAGTTTCACGAAAGCCAATGTTTTTTTTTTTTAAGTAACACTACGATGTAATATTTTAAAAAACGTATGAATCAAAGATGGCTATGATTTTTTAAACGTATGTCTTAGCAATATTTTCCTATAATTTTGTAATGTCATGTTGAAGTTCGAGTAGACGCTCGGAGCTGCTGTATTGTTATTTATCCCTGTTCTTCTCATCAATAGGAAAAAAGATGAAAGATGCTCCGAGCGCTCAGTGTTTCAAGATGAATTCACGGCATGTTGATTTGTCATTGGACTGATGTCATAAACAATATCAAAAAAAGTACAAGTGAAGCTCTTAGAAGAGCCTATAATAACAGTCGGCATTTATAGTAATGCAAATAATTTCTTAAAATCTTGTCACAAGTTCCACTAGATAAATTAATTTGTTGTTGCAACCAAGAAATTGAGGTTTGTGGATTTTCATTTGTCACTTTGATATTTATTTATGGAAACCGACGTGACGTACGTTTTTATAATTAAAGCACTCTTTGATTTAGTTTTTTGTTGAAGACCCGCTTCAAACTTCAATACTTACGTATCGCGTACCATACCAGATCCGTTATTATTTCTGAAAAATACTAACGCCGCCAACGCGTTTTTTTTTTTTCAAATTGCCGATATGACGACAACACGCAATAAATTGATGATTGTTGAATTGTTTATTGAAGGTTAACCAACGCATTTCTGGTAAAGAAGAGATCGATCAAAGTAGAAAAGTCTCTGACAAGAAATCCAGCCGCCGAAAGACTAGTGAACTCTTTGGTTATGATGGAGAGTCAGTCCACTATCACTACAGAGGTAATGGAAGAGCAAGAAGAACCTACAAGCAGTATTGTTCAACAGGTAAAAAATCCTGTCGCTTTAAACAAATAGTAGGTACAGATCGTTTCACCAGGGCTCATACTTGACCTTGAAACTTGAAAAAACGGTTGTCGTAGATTAATTCATATGACACATTCAATTTTTTTGACAAATTAAAATGAATGACTTCTGGTTTAAGAACCGACGAACGTTTCTGACGTCATTGATTTGTTCCAGTCATTTTCTATTTGTTAAAAAAAGAAGGCAAATTATGTCAAAAGTATGAACCCTCGTGGAACAAAGTTTACTTATACCGACAATACATATATCTGGACTAAATGAAAAAATTATGATTTATCATAAATGAATAATACTACTTTCAGCACCCAACTTTACAACGGTTAAAGTAGACCAAATAGAGATAAAAATGGAGAACTTCTCAAAACTGTCATTTTGCATATTTTAGCGCAAATTTTGGGTAGCAAAATGGATAATCAATCCACACTACGGAGCAAAGAATTCAAATATATGGATGCTTTTTCCTTGTTTTATGTAGGTACACTGGTTTCCTTCACCACAATACTAATAATTCCTTATAGTAGGTATTAATGTTACAGTGCCGACAAATAGCAAATAACCGCTGAGAAAAGGGTAATAGCTGTTTATACAATAAGTTACGAAATGAACGTCTTTTAGGCACGCGACGAGGCAAAGCCGAGTTGGACAACACGTCGAGTGACTAAAAGACATCGTTTCGTAACGTGTTGTATACAAGATTTTTTCTACTGGCATTTCATAATAAAAAAAACACAATTTTATTTCATGTGAATAAGAACCGATGACCCCTAAAAAGTTTGTCACCTGCTTTTGACACCGTTGATGCGATTTTTTTTTCCAAGATTCGACAATAATAATTGATATTCTACAAAAAGTAACAACACAAAGTTCTGTTTTGAATAACCCCAACATTCAATTCAATAATTGCATTTTTAATATTCATAATAAATACATAAAATTCAAATATGTGTTTTTTATTTCTAAACAATGAATGTCACTTTTAGGCACTAGTGCTCGAAAAATCACTTTCACGCAATGAATGCTTAGAAGAATGTCGTTTAAAAACTAAAATGAAAATCGAAAAGTTGATATTATGAAACGTCAGGTGGAAAATTCAATTTTCACGCATATCAAAATGAATGAGAAAAGTGAACTCGCTTGCTAGTATAAAAAAATATGAAGTTTATGTTCTTGCTTTGGAACCAATTAACAGAAGGATGTAATTTATGTGGATTTATTTACGAAGGTTAAACGGCTGCCCGTTGTTATGAAATTTTTTATGAAAAATTAAAACGAATTTAAAAAAAAAAAAAAAACAGATACCAACAAAAGATCAATCAAATTTTGCTACCACTAACTATTTTTGTTGTTGATACAAATCAATTGAAAACTCATTTGAGATGAAAATTCTGCCCAATGGATATTCAATGTCATTTTTATTTTCAGGAGACCTATAAAATATCACGGCTGCCTAAGATCGATGGTGGAAATCCTGAAAATCTTACGATGCTCAACAGCGGAGATGGAAAGTTACCCAAAACTACAAATAATGGGTTGACATGCCTTGTCATCGACACCACCAAAGTAAGTAGGTAATTAAGTAGGTATTATAATACAAGAATTCACGCTTATGTTTGAAATTTTCCTGGTTCCTGTTCTTGTTGTAAAAATACTGCAAGCCGGTCTTGTTCTTTTTGTCATAGGTCTTCTTGTCGTTGTGAAAGTGCTGCAAGCTGGCCCTGTTCTTTCTATCATCGATCTTATCCTTCTTCTTTTTCTTTCTGTCTTTGGTCTTCTTGTTGTTGTAGAAGTGCTGCAGACCGGTTCTGTTCCTTCTGCCTTTCATCTTCTTATTTTGTGAAAGTGCTGCAAGCTGGTCCTGTTCTTCCGTTTCTCTTTCTGTGTTCGGGCTTCCTCTGCTTGGCTCTTGTCGTCCAAATTGTTAATGAAGTCATTATCAGTCACGGTTTCCAAACAGATTTCCATAGAAGTTTCTCGAATTTTCCAAAAAATCCGCTTTTGAGCTTGTTTTTCGATATTGAAGCTCGTAATAAAGTCACAATTCTTGTTTCACTCACGGTTTCCAAATGAAGTTCTACAGAAAATTCTAGAATCTTCAAAAAAATCCGCTTGTGAGCTGGTTTCTTGATGTCGAAGCGAGTTATTAAGTCAAGATTCTTATATCACTTACGGTTTCCAAATACAATTCTATCGACGTTCATGGAATTGAGGAAAACCGCCTATTTAAAATATTATTTCTTCAAATCTTAAACTTTTCAAAAACGTCTACTATAGAAAAGCAAATGGTAAATGTTGAACGAGGACGCTGCCATGTCTTTTGTGCTGGGATTTTAATTCAGAGCGTACATTAGGGCCTTATTGAATCTACTAACACTTTCCGACCCTGACGAGCGAATATCCTGGCAAACAATTTGAAAAATCAATCTAGAGATATTGGCTCAAAATAGCAACTATAGCTCAGTAGTCTCCCGTAACCAGGGACCTCAGTACCTGCTGGTGGAACTGGATAACTAACCAAAAACTCTTCTGTATTCAATATAGGCAGTGTTGATTGAATGTGGTGGGTGAAATTTAAGTTTTAGCACAAGGACAAAGGACGGTATAGTTTATCAATTCTCAATTGAACCACCACAAAAAATAAATTTTCATGAACAGTCGGCGTTTTCTTTATGAAGCATAGGCGGCGAGGTTTTCAAAAATGTTTCATCATATAATAGATCAATATAATTTACATTTTATTCTACGTAAAATTTAATTTATATTTATTATTATATTCGCGATATTTTGGAATACACATGCACACAGGAGATATTTTTTAAAAATTTTAAACAATTATTTCATAAAAATATGCATAAAAGTAAACAGGCTGTCCCGGATAAGGATGATGCACTCTACAGGGATCTCCGTAATCATAAGAGATACAGGGTTGAGGGTTGGTTAAATTTGGAAAAAATTGCGCATTACTGGGCTCAGTGGCGTCATGTTTTGATATTTCGGAAATTCCGAAGATATCTAAAAAAAATCGAATTTTGCCAAAATCGTTTTTATTTTTTTCTGGCTATTTATTGAAATGATATCGCGAAATAAATGTCACTTCATCGTTGCCATTTTTCCTCATCTACAAGATGCTACCATCAAATTTAAAATCTGACATTGACTGATTTGAAAAATTTATATTATTGGCACTTTCCATGTGTTAGAGAGAGACAGAGAAGAGAATTTAAATAGGAAATAACCCTAAAGGAAAAGTGAAAAAAATATATTTTTGCGAATAAATGTGGTACGTCATAGGTTTGGGGATACCAGAAGCTTTAAAAATCTGAAATGAAAAATCAAGTACCGTATTTTAAAAAATGAAGTTGATGATGGTGGCCCGAAGACAAGACGTCCTATTTTAAATTTGATGGTAGCATCTCGTAGAGGAGAAAATATGGCAACAATGAAGTGACATTTATTTTGCGATATCATTTCAAATAGTCAGAGAAAAATAAAAACGATTTTGACAAAATTCGGTTTTTTATAGGTATCTTCGGAATCATTCGGAATTTCCGAAATATCAAAACATGACGCTACGATATGGGTACCTACTTACCGCTATTTCCACAAAATTCAGAGCATGGATTGTGCCTCAGAAAACTTTATGGCTTCTTTTATTATTTACACACAAACAAAAAATAAAAATAAAATATTGAAGGAACTAAACACTATGAGGAATCGTAACTGTCAGAAACGGCATCAGAACTGGAATCGCTGTTGGGATGTGGAATAATAAGAGGAGTAACTGAAGCCAAAATAGGATATTGATCTTCATTTTCAATGACATGTGTAACACAATTTTTCTATTGGTCGTTTCTAATTTCAGACATCACTTGTCGTATAAGATCGAGTACCGCCCCACTAGATGTTGGTGACCTGTTAAGTTGTCTCAAACGTTTTTTTAGAAGAGCCCAAATTAATTCAATAGGATTGAATATGCAATAGTAAGGCGGAAGTCTCAGAAGTATGTGGCCTTGTGTTTTGCACAGTTCATCTATGAAATATCCATTTTTAAAATTATAAGTTTTAATGGTTTTAATTAACTCTGATTTTATAGGTATTTTTTCGGGAATTGTAATGCCTTTATCTCTCATAAATTTTACAATGTTCTCTTTTTTTGTGCTCATATTTGGTATTTTATTTAAAATACGAGATTGATATGACGCATTGTCCATAACAATAACGGAATTTGGCTGGAGGTTTGGCAAAAGCTGTTCTTTGAACCATTTCTCGAACAAATCTGCTGTCATATCCTGGTGATAGTCCGCTGAAGACTGTGCAATCTTCTTGGCTGAGGGCAACAACGCATTCGGTACAAAGCCATTTTCACTCCCTGCGTGTAAAATTATAATTCTTTTTCCTCTTGAGCATGGCGCATTTAAGCAACAATTTTTTGATTCATCTACCCAACCACTGCGAACGACATCATGGGTGTCAAACCATGTTTCGTCTAAATAGACTATGGGTTTGTTTAGTTCACGAAATTGTTTTATTTCTCGAAGATCTTCTCCATGCAATTGAACTATTCGCTGTGTTTCCATTATAACCATTGTGTTGTCTATTTTTTTGTATTTAAAACCACAGCTCATCAACACATTTCGTAGTGTTTCTAAACACTTGTACTTATAATGAGTGGCGTAGCTAGGCGTCGGCGATGTCGGCGATGTCGGCGACCGCCGACGGCCTCGCGCCTTAAGGGGCCTCGCAAAAAATAGGTAACCGAACCTGAAAATTGGCACTTTTCAATTTCCCAAAATGAAACGTAGAATTGTAGAATAAACTTAATCCTATATGAAACTTCTTTTAATATCATAGAATTCGTGCAGTATTTCGCTGTAGGTATTGTACATTCTACAGTAATTTGAAAGTTTGTCCAGCATTTGATTTTGTTCAGCAAACCTGTTAACATACAGAGATTCGGAAATTATTAAGGTTACCTAAAAAATTGCCTGATTTCTATCAAAAATTGTGGGTCCATGTTTGTGTAATACTGTAATAAATAAGAAATTTATTTTTTGTTGGAAAGATTTGTTAGCGGAAAAATATTGATATTTTTGACTAAATATTGTTATCGAATACCGTTGATAGGCCTCAAAAAATTCGCGCCTTCGGCGGTTATCTTTCGGATGGCTTGCCGGCGACTACCCGTCCCTGACGTAATATCCAGCTTTTTCACAAGAGATATGGCCACCCTGCAGTGGCGGATCTATGGCACCAACCATTCTGGGGGGGGAGAGCTTCTCAACCAGTGGCGGCTCGTGGTCTATACCTTGTTGTGAACGAGTGAATTTATTATTACTTATATTATCCATAATCCTAATGTTCGCTACATTTTCTCTTTTACAAGTTCCATCGTCTGTGTAATTGAGTTCCAAGTTTTATTATAACAATACTTTATGCTGTTAGGGTTTAAATACGATGCCGGCTAGAATTATTATATAACCAATGTCCTGTTCACGCCAATTTCTCAAAAGTCGGTACTTCTATTGCAGAAACCCCAATTGTTGTAAATACAAAAAACTAAGTCAAATACAGCCCATGGGAAGTACTCTTGCCGCCAAAGACATACTTCCTTCCCAGGCCATTTTTATAATACAGATGGCGGGAATTACAACCCCTAGGCTAATTTTAGGTTTATGATTGTACAAACGTTTCGTAACATTTTAGCACCTTTATAAAATATGTTGTTAGGATAAGTTAATTTTAGGAAATTGTAAAATATCCTTCTTTAAAGAAGTTCAAACTTGCCTTCCTTGGTGGAGGGTAGTTGAAGACAAGGTATTCAGATTTCGAGCTTCACTCTGAACTGTCGGTTTGCCTCTCAACATTCTTATCTAAGTGTCCCCCTCAACGAGAATTTCAATAAATGAAACATTTTCATACAATACCGAGTTTTAATTATCGAAGTACATTGGAGCGCGCGGAAAACTCCAGGTACTCAACATTCGTGGCATCGGTCAATTCCCGATTCCTAACAACCTGAAGGGGTTCACACCCAAAGTAGGACCCAGTAGGCGATATGCCCACCGTAGTTGTGGCCGGAAGCAGAAATTTTTTCGGGTGTCACGCTCAAAACGTATTTTACGCCTCCAAAAAAATAATTTGTGTGTTTTTTTAATAATTAAAATTTTCTTGGGCCTCTCTGGGGGAGAGGTGTAATTTCCCCCATTACCCCCCTCCCTCCCTCGTGGATCCGCCACTGCCCCCTTACATAAAAAGGGCCTCGCAATTCGGATGTCGCCGACGGCCTCGTTTGGTTTGGCTACGCCACTGCTTATAATCTGGATATTCTTCTAGTTTTTCCTGAATCATATTTAATGTTGGAACCGTATTCTGTTCATAGAACCCATAAACAATGCGCCGAATAACATCTCTCTAACCATCAACAACTTTCGTAAGTTTTCCTTTCGTTCGTTTTCGTTTCACTCCTATTACAGTCCCTTGTTTAATCACACGAAAAATTGTAGAACGTGATAATTGTTGGGAAATGGACTAAGAAATAAAAGAACTTGTTAATTATCGATATT